GATGACCGCGTTGTGGCTGAGAGGCTGACTTTCCCTTCATATCAAGCTTCTCAGGGTAGTGATTGTGTGACGCTCACCCGGACAGCCCAAGGAATCATGAACACGAGCTCGGAACGTACTGTTAAAAAAGCAGACACAAAGATTTCACACATTTCTCTCTATATGTATGTCAGAGGGAGACGCCAAGATCAGAGGAACGACAGAACGTCAGAGGGAGACGAGGATCAAGAGGAGACAGAAAGGAGGCACAGAGAGTCAGATGGAGACGCAGAGATCAGAGGAGACGACAGAGAGTCAGGGAGAACGTACGAGAGTCAGAGAGACGACAGAAGTCAGAGGGAGACGACAGAGATCAGGAAGGAGACGACAGAGATCGAGGAGACGGACAGAGGTCAGAGGGAGACGACAGAAGTCAGAGGAGACGACAGAGAGTCAGGAGGAGCACGACGAGAGCAGGGAGACGACAGAATTAGAGGAGCCAGGAGTCAGAGGGATAACAAGACGAGGTCAGAAGAGAGACAGGTAGAAAGGTCAGAGGAGACGACAGAGAGTCCAGGGAGACGACGTAGAGGGAGAGAGGTGAGGACGACAGAGATCAGAGTGAGACGACTGAGAGTCGAGGGAGCGGACAGAGTCGGAGGGAACGACAGGATCCAGAGAGACGACAGAGTCAGGCAGGGAGACGACAGAGAGTCAAGAGAGAGACAGGACAAAGAAGGTCAGGGAGGCAGAGAGCAGACACAGAGAGTCAGAGGAGACGACAGAGAGATCGAGAGGTAGACCGACAGAGAGCAGAGGAACGACCAGAGAGTCAGAGGAGACACAGAGAGGTCAGAGCGGGAACAAGGCAGAGAAGAAGATCAGAGAGCCAAAGAGAGGGAGACGCAGATAGAGTGGAGACGACAAGCAGAGGTCAGCAGGGATGCAGGTCAGAGGGAACGGCCAGGAAGTCAACGGAGACACAGAGAGTCAGAGGAGACGACAGAGTCAGAGACGCAGAGAACAGGAACGACTAGATGAGCAGAGGCAACGGCAGAGAGTCAGAGGAGACGCAGAGAGTCAGAGGGAGACGGCAGAGAGTCAGAGGGAGACGGCAGAGATCAGAACGAGATAGGGACGGCAGAGATCAGAGGAGACGCAGATCGCAGAGGCGAGGTTCGACGGGATGACGCAGAGAGTCAGATGGAGACGGAGAGGTAGAGGGAGACGGCAAGATTCAGTCAGAGGGAGACGCAGAGAGTCAGAGGCAGACGGCAAGAGTAGTCAGAGGAGACGCAGAGAGTCGAGGAGACGCAGAGATTCGAGGAGACGCAGAGATCAGGGAGACGGCTAGAGAGTCAGAGGAGGACGCAGAATTCAAGGGAGACGCAAGGAGTCAGAGCGGAGACGCGGAGAGTCAGAGGAGACGCGAGAGAGTCAGAGGGAGACGGCAGAGGGATGAAAAAGAGGACAATCACTAGTAATGAGAAAAGTGGACGAGACAGTTTGAATGCAGGTTCATTGTAAATGTAATTAATATTATGTTTTTAACAATTCAGATTACCAACACCATGGTGGAAAATAATAAACTATTTTGAAGTCTATTTTAGTAACATGGTGTTGTCAGATGAATTTCACTCCAGAAGATTCAAGAGTGACAATGTGACACACTTGATGTTTCAGAAAAAATATTAACACTTATTCTTTCATTTCGAACATCACCGAACGCACAACCAGATGTCTGAAGATTTATAGATTGTTTATATATTACGTCAATTGCATCTTTTATAATTATATTTCAAAATGTAGCAAAATAAGTTCTTGATAACGGAAACGTGAATAAAATGTATGTAATGCAGCGCGGTGAATTTTCTATATAAAAACTCTTATTATCGGACCCCGGTAACGAAAAAGTAGATACATTCAGTTGCTAGTGATACATTTAGGGGAAAAAGTCCTAAGACGTTGTGTTGCCAGAATAATGTTTCCCCAAATATCCCCTAATATCAAAATATTCATTTTAAACTAACAGGGCGTTGAGTTCGTTCAGATCGATTGGGAAATATCAATTTGGGAACGGATAGACAGAAAGACAGATTCTCAAAATTGATATCCCTCAATCAATCTGAATGATGTGAAGTTTTAAAAGTTTAAACCGTAAGTAATAAGAAACTTTTCTACTTTCTATAATTCTTTGATTTGTCGTAATGTAATAATGTGTGTGAATGCAGTTTCAGGATGAAACAAAACCGATGATATATATTTTTAATCACTTTTATTTATGATATACACATAATTAATAATACAAGTAATACAATAATTATTTGTCTTCTGCCTCTCATTCTTCCTTTCATTTTTCTTATCCTGGAACGTGTATCTGGAAAAAGACAATGGTCAGAATGATGTGAAAATGAAGGTTGTGCAATGACCTTGGCTGACCGGGTGACGCTGTGAGGGACGATATGATACCGACGTCACGATCATTTTGTCATGGTCTTCCTTAGGAGCTTTAAGAGCACAGCCTTAAGAGCTGAGGAGTTGAGTCCTGACAAAGACCAAGTGAGGACGGTCGAAACGCCGGCATTACAGCGTGCGTTGTGGCGTCATCCGGTTTGCCAATAACATTGGTAAGACTTGACCGCGGAGTTCTTATACAAAGTGATTATGGATGCAAATTTTAAACGGAACCAAGGCAATTATAATATGAAGGAATCTGCGCTGGGTGACGAACTTTTTAACCATGCTCCGTGAAGTCACGGAAGTTAATCAGCTCGAGACACCGCGGATCCCTGGATGGGTGACACTCTGGGAAACGCGGATACTAACGGCGCTATGCCCCTGGTCGATAGGAATGAAAGGCAATGATTTACGTCTTGACTTCAGGTATGATTGCTTTATATTAAATGAGTATTACTCTACGTTTAACTCCAAAATGGTTTGTAATGTTGTTACGCAAGTAACAGTATAAAACAAACTAACAAAAACATGCGTATGTGGTTCCGTTTTCTGTCCCGGCGCATCTCTAGTCTGGGCCGCAGCATCTAAAACTAATATGCACAAAATCCAAACATTCCAAAATAAATTCCTAAAAATAATCACAAAAGCACCCTGGTTTATCCCTAACTCTCAACTTCATTAACTATTCTGTATCACCCCAATCACTGTATATTTCTCCCATCTATCGGCAAAATTCTATAACAAAATTTCTCGACTTCTTTCTGCTACCCGTTTCAAAATAGGTAAACAGAAACCCAATCGGAAACATTTGAAAAGTAATCGCCGAGATAATTTTTTGACCATCCTTAAGCACACTGCAAACAATTAACCTCCACGTTAATTCAAAGTGCTTCTGAAATAAAATAACTACGATAAAAATATATCTTGTAAACTTGCTGTATAAACTTACTGTATCAGACATTCTGGCTGCTGAGGGCCACAGGCAAAGCAAGAATAAATTTAAAAAATATCATTTGAGGCATTTATTGTTAAAATCTTTCTTAATTCGTGATAGTATTGGCATCTGACGCATTCGGAAGTCTAGAAAACAAAATGGAAACCATCGTCATGCGGATTCGCTTTGTGGAAAGTCCGTCGTTCTCGTATAGTCAGGTCTGCCCAACAATCCCATGAAATCTTGTTTAAGTGTCTGTCGATATGCATAACAGTAGTTCAGTTTTTCGTTCCATTCAGTTCTATTCAATGGAACAAAATCAATATTTCATTTATTAATACAAAGTCAGTAATTTGAAGCAAATTCGCCGAACAAAATAAGGTTAAAAGAATTACAGACTTGAATAGCGAATAATTGAAATATGAAACTTTGTTAATAATATGAAATTGTTCCTGAATATCAAATTCAATTTTTTTAACTCTTACCATTTCTTCACAAATTAAAATTTAAATAAATAATGTTTGATATTTTTAACGACATTGCTAAAATTAACACATTGTGCATAAATAAATGAAAAATTGCTATCCATTCCATTGAATAAAGGAAAAACACTTGCACGTGCGGTCAGTTTTATTTGTAAAGCAACGAGAAGACAGAAATATTGTTTTCGAAAGTTGCGAAACAGTAATAGTGTCCTGTACAATGACGCTGCCCTAGGTAACACAAACTGCAATATCTTAAAACTATTTCATTTTGAAACTTGTTTTGGAATTAACATTTCTGTATCTCCAGAACCACATATCAATTCTTATTGTGTTTGTTTTAAAGCTAAAAGAAAAAAAGATTGGACTAAGGATTGCGGAGATGAGGGTGTCAGCATTATGTAATCATCCACCACCTTTAATGGCGTCTCCAAATAAATACGACATTTATTGTCCGATTACGAACACTGTACTTTTACGTACACTAAGATAATTCATAATTAAGAGAGAGTCAGTTTCTGAAAGATTTTGCATGTGCAGCACTACGGCCTGCTGAGTGTGCAGCACCGATATTTCAATAATTGACTATGGAAATTAATCATTTTAACTATGAAAGTTGTAGTCATTCCATAAGGACGACAACGCTATCTGATTAACTTCAATCTTAAACTCGCAATTATATTTCGGCCCATTGTCGTGAATAGATAATCTGTAATTATATATTTTGCAAATATTCCTCAAAATTCCCAATCCAAGGGTTCAATAGAGAGGTTGGTAAATTTATCTTCAAAGAGGAGTTGAAGATCTTATTGATCATGTATACTAAATGATTGCATTATATGCGTTCTCAGATGATCCATTTATAACACAGAAAATTTATTTTGGATTCGTTGTGATGATCTTACAACTCCTCAGTCGACAAAACCGATTCAGTCCACATGTTGCGATCTAACAATGAAACAAATATGAGGGAAGTTAAGACGATAGAAAAGCATAAACCACGAACGTACTTGAAACATGTCGCCAAATTCGTGGCGTATGGACCTTAAAATCGCTTGTCAATATCAGTCAGACGCAGTTTCAAAATATACTTAAAATACTTTAGTGCCGTGCCACGTATTCATGAGTGCATATGAATACTATACCCTCTAGGCTAATAATAACTGGTCTAACTTGAAAGCAGGCAAAATCGTTCTTGCTGTGGTTGGACTGAGATAACAATGGTGAGAAATTAAATGAAGAAATACATTGATTATTTAAGTCCAGTATACTCACCTTTGCACATACTAAGGCGAAGTAGCCATTCTTCGTATTGTCGTTGCCGTAATCCACACAGAATTGGTGTGTAGAAAATGGAGACCCGGTAATTCCAGCCGTTAACGTTCCATTCCGCCAAAGTGTGCTATTGTACTTGCTGAAAATTGCAATATTCATGAATCGTACGTGAAGTTTGATATGGAGCACAAATATATTGAAACACCCAAATCAAACTCTTAATGTAAACCGACATCAATTGAACACTCGCGTCGACACTACCAGTTTTATCAACATTTCTAGTGACGATATGCTTTAGAGTTCAAAACGTTTATAAATTATTTATGAGTAATATAATGAGGAACATGCAGGCGTGTCATTTTTCCCTTAAAATGACTCGCTTGTTTGGTGTACAGTCTATTTTTCGAATGCGCACACTATTTAAGGACAGCCAAATGATTTTGATAACTTATTTTCTCGCTACCGCTTATGCAGCAGAGATAAAATTGTGTAATGCTGCGCGAAAAAACGGTAAATTTTCGTCAGAAAACTCTTTGTACAAGGCCCTGATAACGAAGAAGTAGATACATCCAGTTGCTAAATTTAGAACAAAATCTTCTAACGTGGTGTAGCCAGAATCCATGTTTTGTGGGTCCTTGATATCGAAAAATCGAATGACGAAAAAACGCCTGTCTATTCGTCCGAATGTATTTTCTTGGCTATCCGAGCGTCCTGATTTGCGGAATAGCTGCTGTAGCAGAGGAAGGCCGCAATGTGATGGCCGAAGCGTCAGCCATCACGAGAGAGACACGGCTCATCGCGGATAGCCTAGACAAGACAAACTCCGGCCGCGGAAGCTTACTCAATCATGTCCGACAGTCTGTCCGCTTGTGTGTCCGTCTGCGCCAGCACGTTTGGACTGATTGTCTCCAAAATTGAGATTTTGCAATCGATTGGGCTGATATCGCGACCGTTTGAATTTAAAAGCGGTATTTCAATTTTGGAGTACTTTACATAAAGCCTCTGGACCACTTTTCAAAATGTCAAGAATATGTCTCCACCGTTTTTGGTGTAAAGAACGTTAACAGAAAGGCGCAGGTCTCATGTTCGTTAAAAACCCTGATTTTTCCAAAATTGGAGAATTTGAAAATTTTTCAGACTCTTCTTACAACTAAAATATTAAAGATAGAGATTGTTTCCTTCAACATAAAATTTTCCTTCAAGATCGATGAGGAAATTAGGACGTGAACTAAAATTCTTGGAAAATTTGAGTACTTTTGGCGTAATTCTGCGTGAGAATATTAGCGAGAAAGTATGTGCTCTTGTAGCACCATTGGTTCGCTTAGTATTTGTATTACAGAAATGATTAATTCCGTATTTATTTCAAAGTATGTCTCAAATTAAGATACACTAATAAGAAGTAAGCGGGGAAATACCTCATTTCGATCATTACATTCATCCGGCCTGATGGACAATTTTTAGAAAACGGCCCTCGTAGGCGGGCATAGGTCACGTTCTCATGTCTACGCTCTGACCGAGCAGTAAGCGCTGTGAACGGTGCGTGCCACGTGACGCTTTGGGGAAGTCTGGCGGCGCAGTGAACGTCTTGCTCCACAGCGACAGCTTCTGAAACGGTGAGCATTCGCTTGTTATCGCAGCACTTGCGGACGCACACCACGCGTTTGCACGGGCAGGCCAGGAAGGCGAGGTGAAGCTTCCCAGCCACTGTCGTCCTGTCCACGCAGTAGTCCTCCGGCGGCAGAACTAATTTCTGGGTTGGTCCCGCTGCCGTACTGTCTAGCTGCATCTGTGCAGACCCACTGTAGTAAATGACAAATTTAAGTAACATTACGCAAATTACCTCGCTTTCAATGCAACGTTTCCCGAATAATTTTAAAGTGAAAATTCTTGAACAAAAGTAATTGATGGCTTGACTAGTCAGATATTGACTACAGGATACAAACATTCTTGGGCGAGAAGCAAAATTTGTACTAATGAACTTATTACATTTTAGTACAGCTCATCTAGCAACAGTTTTTCGTTATTTTTCTAATATAGACATTCCATATTTGCTTTAGTACAAATGCCAAATGCAAAAATGCAGATCATTATCAATTAGTTCAGAAAATTCTGTCGCAGGATCATTTTTAACTGTATTTGATTCTTCTTCGAAGAAGTGATCAGTTTCATTTGAAAATCGGTATTTTCACACTTACGTAAGAACGGAAAACTGCTAATTCGAACATAACGTTCATTCATTCATTACTGACAGTTTTTTAACCGTATTCACTTGTCATTCTTCAAGTTTAGTAAGTTCCGAGGCAATGCTATTCGTAGGTTTTCGTTAATTTATTTCTTTAAATACGATAATTCAAATCTAAATTGGAATCAATCTGCATCGCGTTTACGTGGTAATTCAATTGACATGAAGATGTCTACATCAGTGTTGCCAACGTCGTGAAAGAAATGGGTGAAAAACGGTGGGTTTTGGGTGAAAAACGCATTTTAACACTCAACATTACATACATAGATCGATTTAGGAGGCGTTGGTTTTATTCTGGCCATTACCACTGAGCTCATAGCGCAAAAACACGAAAAAACACGTTCTTGGAAATTTATTTGAATCCTCTTGCCGGATCCGAAAACAAATTTAACCCTTCCCCATCGAGAGACTGAGGCGCATGGAATGTCACTTCATACGTCTCGATTGGTGCACGGGAAGTGGTGTAGCCGCCAGTGACAAAACCGCAATTTGCATATCCGTACACTTAGAATAGTTTTACTTAAATATTGTATAAGGATTACTGGTGGTTTATGGTTAATGGGGAAATGCATGTCTTTGAACTTAACATCTATCACTGATAGTTTTTAAAGCAAAAAATTTGATTTGTTTTATCAAGAAAACCCATATATCTTTCTTCAATTACGTTTCATCACAAATTACGAAATAGTTTTAATACAATATGTGTGTGTTTCTGAATTTTGCCAAAATAATTAATGACGGCCTAAAGTTTGACATGACTTATGACAAATGCTTTCTAACATTTCCTTATTTGCAGGACGAATTTTAAATCTAATATTTATTATCAAAATTAACAATTTTAAATGGCTCTTTTGATAATTTTCCTAAGTAATGTGAGATTCTTGTGAAAAGTGTAGTAGCTTATGATTTCAAAATATGGATATTAAATACTGGACCGAATGGCAAATAAATGGTTCTCAAAGGGAATGCTCTCAATTTATCATAATGATCGAAGTAAGTCAGTAGAACATTAGCTAATAGTTTTAGCTATCTTGTTTCATTAATTTGAACGAGCCCCAAATTACGGGAGGATGAAAGTAAAATATATATAGTGATGGAAATCAGAATTCGAAAGATGAAGATATGCAGCTGATGTAAAGTAAGAAATATTTTAAAATAAAAATAATTACCTCGAGAGATCCATTCAAGTACATAGAAACTTCGTTTGTCCACAGCATGGACGTGAGATCCTGCTCGCAAGGTTGCTTCTTGTAGAGAACTTTAGCATTCCGTGCCAGAGTCGAGAGCCTCTCGATTTTTCTACTGGGAGCAACGCGTACTTTAGCGTCCATCCACCAGAGCTTTCTCTCCTGCAAAAGCAAAGTAAATTTTGTAATTTTTTGTGTTGAGAAGAGATACTTTCGTATGATCTAAATGGTGACACAATGCGGATGATAGTGAATTTTTGATATTAGTTAAATAGCTATGTCGAATTCCCTTGCATCTTCTAGCAGTCCGTTGTTCCGAGGTTTCTCTGATCAATTGCAGACGAATGCTGCAGCAGTACCTTAAAGAATATGCCAAAGACCATGAGCCATCTTTCCTTTCTCCACCTGGTCCTATCCTTTCTCCTCACACACACTCACACACATTAGTTCACTTACATGCACTGCATTACCACATATGTCGGCAGACGTTTTGGGAGCCTAGAGTTTGTTCCGGCTGGGGAGTTACCAGGAGGGCAAATGCCCCACAAGCCGACATATAGGTACCGGGAGAGGTGGCTCTATGCATCAACTGAATTCATTGCAGTGCCTCTGACCGGGGAGTCCTGAGGTTCGAGTACAAACGGTGGTAGGAATTTCGACATTATCTGCATACAGATGTGGCATTCAGTCACTGACTGGAAGAGAATTCTAGCGGCCGGCTGCTCTGTCCGGTACTTTTCCGTGTTTTTCCGACGGTAGGTCGCTACCGGATCTCGCCATCAAGCTGGTCAGGATCACCGCTACCTCTCGAGAAAAAAACACTCAATACAATTACAGGACTAATGACAGCAGTTGGCACCCCCAGAAATATCAATAAACTAATCGTGTCTTGGCCGGAAATACTCGGAGTTCTGTAGATTTTGGTAGATACTAAGAGTAAGGAAACTGCCAGCCATCACTCGGGAAATAAGGAGAGTATGAGAAAGAACTCTTATTATGATATTTCCTGCGGCCTGATCGTTACCGATCAGAGCAATCTACTGTTATAATTTTCATCTTGGCAAAGAAGATACAAACCATAATACAACCTACTTGCGACGAGTGAACTCGCGTGAAATAGCTTTGTGACTCAGCCGTAGCTAACCACAATGTGACGGAAACAAAAGAAAGAGATAATACTTTCAGTACAATTCATGTACAACTATTATTTGTACCAACAATATCTTCTCTTAATGTGTGAAAAACCCTCCGTTAAATTTTATGTCTTTTTATCTCGTCACGTCGTCGTCTGGACCTTTTATCCCATCAGCGAGGGGTGCGGAGCCATTACTAACGGGGATTCCCAGACGGTCACCCGTCTACGAATCCGTGATTTCTCGAATTACTTAACTTCCGTGACTTCACTGAGCGAAATAAAGAAATTCGTAGAGTGACGTCGGCTATTTTCCAAATTCTGAAGTAGGATTTCATCATTAACAGTCACTGACCGTTTTGTGTTGATTTTCGTTTCTCTATTTGGTTTCTTTAACGTTAACTGAACAGTAAAACGAAAAATATATTACTCACACAGGGAGAGGTGTGTCAGGGGATCAACTGATGTCCCTCTGCCCGGGAGGTCCTAGGTTTTAGCCCCGCCGGTGGTCGGATTTTCGATACTTGCTAAATAGCTAGGTCGAATGGAGCTGTCCGGGGCAGAATTCTAGCAGCCCGCTACTCGGATCGGAATTTTTACATGGTTTCTCTTATCAATAGCAGGCGAATGCCAGAGCAAAACCCTAACAAAAAAAGATCACGAACCGCGCATGGTCTTTTCTACTTCTTCCTTGACTTATCTACACCCTCACATTCACACACTACACTTACATGCCAGGAGACCGGTCGGAAGTTTTGAGCTTGTCCCGGCTAGAGCGGTGCACCGCTGGCGGAAGACACCTGGTTAGGGTAAAGCCATTAACTGCGAGGTAGGTAAGGGTCAGATCTCAGCTACTTCACGTAAAACAACAAGAAGTATACTTACGGGACTAATGGCCTTAGTAGTGGACGCACCAGAGATTACTTATCGGCCAATCAAAGGATATTCCTCACCTCGACGCGCCGACGGGTGGCGTCTCCCAGAGGCACGCAAACGCTCTGCTCGTCGTCGAGGAGTTGGTCTGGGGGGCAGCACTTGCGGAGCACGAAGGGCGCCGAGGGGGGCGTGGCCGGCACGGCCCCCTGCGCCAGCGCAGCGCACAGCAGCGCCAAAGCCACGACTCGCTCGGGCCCCATCGCCTCTCGCTCTGCGCCTTCCACACAGAGGCCCGGCCCAGACGGAGTCTGCTTTCGCAACGCCTTCGCCGCAGCGTCCTCCCCCGGTGCGCTCTGCGGGCGGCTTCTTCCTGCGTTGCGACATCATCGGTTTCGTCGGGTGTTGCCGACGGCAAGATGGGTGCGAGTCGGCGGTTTTTAGATGTGAAACTACAGTATTAGTTGTTAACGTATCTAGTAATGGTATGAGTGTTATTACTGCTCAGGCAAAAGTTAAAAGTCGAGGCGTAGCCTTTTAATTTGGACGACGCAGTAATAACAAAGGCTCGGACAATGCCCGATTTGTATATTTTATTTCATTGAATGTATTTTCAGGCAACTTACTTCATTATCCATCCAATTGAAGAAATCCGATTTGTTTTTAGAGAATTGTGTTCGTCCTTAATGTACGTATTACGTCTACATTTGATTATTGAGGAGTTTTTGAGCTTATTAACAACTATTATAAACGTATTACCTATTTCCCTGTCGGTTTTTAAAGTTTTAGCTTCTCTTTGCTGGCCTATATTCAAATATAATGCCCATTTTTCTGCCTGTTTTTATGTTTTAAAGTGCCTATTTGCCTACCTATTTTCGACTTTGTTAGTGCCTACATGTCCGAACTGTAGTAATAACACTGTAACATTTCGCGGTAACTTCAGCATTTTATTGGTCACCATAAAATATCACGATTTATGCGCAAATTTACGACAAACTCAGTAAACAAATGAATTGGGTTAATGTGGCACGTTGGTACAATATTGTGGTGTGTGTCTTGCGGTATATGCACTTAAACAATCTTCGCATAGCGTAGTTTCAGAAAGATGGATGCAAATAATTTTCGTGAATCTCACGGTGCCTAAAGAAATGACATTTAAAGAGAAAGTTGATTCTTTGAATTTCAATGGCGACACCTTCACATCGTTAGTATGATTGAAGAAGTGTTTCATTTGGTGGAATGCCAAGAAAATGAGGTTAACTCACTTAATAAACATTTTAATAATTTTACAATTAATAATATTACAATTAACATTAATATCCCATAAACGGATACGAGTTACTGAATTACGAATTTTCAAATCTCATTTTTTGAACATCATAATGTTCGTTTTCTTAACGAACACATGACTAGCGATGTATCAATGGTTGTTTATTTACAGTGCTAAGGTTGTTAAAACGCATTGTTATGGATGTTAAATTTCTTAGCCAACAGGTGCACTGAACCAAGTCGTAGGGTTGCATGTTAACACGAATATAACCAATAATCGTATAGTAGAGTAGCGCAACTCCATGTTACATGCTCTGTGACGACGTGTTGGTCAGAGACTCGAGCATCCCGCGCGGCGGCAAAGGAACACCACGCCGCCCTGCCCTTCCAAATACATCGTTCTGATAAATCTGACCGAGAAGTGAAATTTTTAATGTTTTAATTTCCTTGCATGCATATAACTAAAACATCATGTGAAGTAGGTGTGTAATAATTTTGAAGAAAAAAATTATTTATATCTGATGAATGTTGTACATTGAAAGTGAATCGTGGAATCATGAGGAGCAACATGAACACGTTCCAGCGAAAACGTGTAATTTAGTCCGTCTGTCCGTCTGTCCGTCTGTCCGTCTGTCCGTCTGTCCGTCTGTCCGTCTGTCCGTCTGTCCGTCTGTATCACTAGTACCCAAATCGTCCCTACGATTTTTCCAAAACGAATATTCCCTGAAGGCACCAGTTTATTATACAGGATCAATGGTTTCCCCCAAAGTCAAGCAAACGACGTCGCCGGAGGTGACAGCAACATCAGGTTGGCGAGAGGCGATGAAGCGCAAACGGCGCAGACGGAGGGGCGCCGGGGCGGCAGCTGAATGGCGCGGGCGGTGCGCGCTGAGCGTCGCTACCACGCGTTGCTCGTTAGCTAATGCGAGCACCGCCCGGCGCCGGGCAGAAGTTTCGCCTCCCGCCGCCGGCGGCGCCCCAGGCGGCGCGGGGCCGAGGCCGCTGGCGGATTGGTCGTGGCGTCTGGGGGATGGCCGTCGCAGCGAAGACCGCCTGCCAGATGAAATGGCGGTGCTGTGCTACGGCGTTGTTGTTGGAACAAGGACGATGCTATTGCGGTAGTTGAGGTGGGAATGCTAGAAGTAATGTTGTGTTGCAGGGATGATGAAGGGAACGTGAAATGTTGTGTTGATGGTGGTCGTAGGGTTGGGGATGATGTGGCGGTCCTCTTCTGTGTTAAGTACGTTAAGTCAGTTGGCGGCCTAATTAGAGAGATGAATGAAAATAAGTAATGCTAATTTTTTACCTCCTATTACCAGTGAAGAAATAATTTAAGAATTAATTTTCATTAGAATGAATTGGTTTGGTGAAATCAACCCTAACATTGCTAACTGCTTTTATAACTTTAAAAATTATATAGTTAAATAAACGTTTATGGCATACTCATTTAAAAGTTTGTATGTACAACATTTTTTTGCACTCGCATATATATTATAACCATGTGAAATGGCATTTATTTGCAATAATTATTTATTTTGTCTTTCAACAATGGAGAGGGAACCAGCTGCGATAGTAATAAGAAATAAAGAGAATGTAACTTGTATATACTAGCTGCAGATATTTTATTGCTATGTTCTCATCCACACTTTTCTAACTTTTTTCTAACTCTACTGAAAGAATTTATAATTGAAAGAGAAATATTCGCGAATGAATCCCAAAATCTCTCTACTCAAGAAAACATGTTGATGAACTATTTGCCCGTGGAATGTAATTCTTGTTTATCCCTTAAGATTACCATAAGTTGTACGCCACACAATTTACCAATAGCAGTTAATTGATGTTTCCTGGTACGACGGCTGCTATTGTCAATAGTCGTCGTCAATTCGTCGGCTTGCTTGAAGAAATTCTACCTTTACGTATCTCCCCCGCCGGGACAAGGTCTAAGTTACCTAAATGTGTGGCGGTGCATTCAACTGTGAATGTGTAAGGGGAGAGGACGGATCAAAAAATAGTAAGGAAAGATTTCGCAGTCTCTGACCTGTTTGTTCGGGTACTTCTCCGGCTTTTGCTTGATATTGATTTGATAGAGATCACGGGAAACTACCGATCAGCGCGGACGGTCACTAGAATTTTTCTATACACAGCGGATGAATTCGATCTAGCTGCCTTCCTAGTATGGAAAATGAGCCACCGAACGAACTCGACCCGTTGGGCCTGCTGGTCAGAGTGGCTTCAGAGAGGGCAGCAATGCTGGATCTGAGCTAACCTCAGCCATAAACATTACAGCATAATGAATTTGATGAAAGAAAAGCATTAAAAGGCTTTGGCACACAACAGGCCCTAATACACAATCTACCAGTATATTACACTTTTTATGTGCACAGTCTGACGGATCGTTGCTTATAGTGTCTTGACGTTCTGGCCATCTTCTTTGATAGCCTGACATTAAGGCACTTTGCACTTTCCTTAAGCTACGTGATTGTTGTAATGCTTGGACAGATGGCAAATACGAAAGCGGCACTCAAATCAAGGATACGGGAAAACTATTAAGATTTAATTTGAGTTATAGAATGACGATTGTTAAAACTATTATTAAGGAAAATTAATAATGAAGATTAAAACTTCAAAGTAGTGTTATTAAATAAGAGATGGTTCTAAACACAAGAAGGAGAAAAACGGTTTATATTTGTTGGAAATGGACGCTTAATATCCTGATGATAGAAGAAGAGAATAGTACTCTTGAGAAGGCGACAAGTTATGAGGAAAGAAATTCCATTTTCCATTTATAGGCGAAGTTGAGAGATCACAAAACGATTGAATTAGCGCCAATGAAGCATTAGGTAGAACATGTATTACGTGAAACGTTTCAGCATGGATGGCAGTTTAGTTAGTTGAACTAGATTGTGCTGAAAATGGGGTGACACACACTTTACTAGCGAACAACATTATTTTCCATGATACACAAATATTGTGAAGATGATGGTGTAAACGTCTTTATGCACCGCACGCAATAACTGAAAATGGTAAGTCATGATATGCAATATTTTATTTCACCCTGAATTACATTGGTGACAATTTAACGATCTTCAACGTGATCCACGGTATTATCTACACTAGTAAATTCCAATGTGCACCGAAATTGAAAAAGTCTAGGTACCTTACAGCCCTATGAAATGAGATCGTGGTTTTGTTAAATACTTAAGTACCCGAAAAGAAAAAAAATCCCAAACAATAAATTAGTTTCAATTTTGACTGAAAAATTCTGATATTTGACCACCTTTTCTCATACTCCTTGTACCGACTCAGTGCATACAACTCAGCACCTCACTGTACACAACACAGCTGATGTCATGACAGCAAGGATTTGAGGGAGGGAACGCGCGGTGTTAAGCTCTTGCCATTCACATGTTGCGTTATGGAACAGCAATTTTTTGAAATTATAAGCGTAAAAAGAACTATTGTAATCACTCTCTCTTGTCATGAATCTCTCTAGGTAAATATTCTACTAGGACGAGAGAGAGAGGGGAGAAAGAGAGGGAGCGGGGAAGAGAGGGAAGGCAAATGAGGGGCAGAAATAAAAATGAACAAAAGAGAGGAAAGGGAGAGAGAGGGAGGGCGGGGAGAGGAAGGGGAGAAAGAGTAGATGGATGGGGGAGAGAGGATGGAGGGGATGAGAGAGGGACTGGGGAGAGAGGGAGGCAGGAGGGAGGGATGGAGGGGGGAGGATGGAGGGATGGGAGCGAGGGATGGAGACTGGGAGGGCAGAGATCGGAGAGAAGCGAGGAGAGCGGAGGGAAGAGACGGGGACCAGGGATAGAGTCGTGATCAGGAAAGCAGAGAGGAGAAGAGAATGGAAGGATCTCTTGTGAGAGGAGTAGGAGGACAGGGAGGGATGGAGATGGTTATTTCAAAACTATTCGTCAAGACTACTTTTGTTGAATAATTTAAAATCGGGCACTTTTTTCAAGGAGGAGTTATTTGTCATTCTTGCCAC